ATAAAGAGAAGGCCCACCTACAACATGAATTTAAGTTTAATATTTAGACCGTTTTTTTAAACTTAAGTTGCCGTAGTTTTTGACAGGCAACTTATACGCTGTGCATTCAACCCCACCTCAAAAGATCCAAACTCACACTTCAAGGAAACATTCTGATATTGTTTAAGTATCATCTTACATGTGGAGACGATTGTGTGATCCCTCCCACAAGCCACAAGCTTCACCTTCTCAGACTTTAAGGCTGAAAGGAAAAAAGTACAATTTTACTGAAATACCACAAAGAATGCTCCTCAGTCTATGTTTAAATTAGGCTAAGACAACAAGTTGATTGATAGTTTAGTCGATTTAAATCCATTAATAGCAAGTTAGTTTGATTATATATTAATTTGCATTAGTAATTATTTGGTTTCAGTTTCTAAAATTGTGAGGGATTTATGTTCTTCCTTATCTAATGTGATCAAAAAAACGGGACATCTTTGGGTTTTGGTATGTTGGTCAGAATAATAAGGTGGAAGAAGACCTCAGATCTTTTATTTAAGCAAAAGTAGCAATAACACATTGTAGAAATACTCTTGAGCAGTAAAAGTCATGCATTAAAAATTATTTTTAACATACAAATATACTTTAAGCACCAACGTTAATGTCTTCATTAATATATTCACTTTAATGTTGAAGCTGGTAAAGGTAGAGCTTGTTGAAATGACTGTATACTGCCAAGTATCTCAGAATTATATGGTACAATATTTGTGTCAATGTTTTCATAACTTTGGAAAAAAATATTGATTTTAAAGTTGGGCTTTTTCACTGTTTCCCTGACATTTGATCAAATCAAATCAAGTTTTATTTATAAAGCACATTTAAAAGCGATTTTTGGTCGAGCCAAAGTGCTGAGTACATGTAATAAAAACACATTACTACAATCACAATAAAAGACAATACATTACAACAGATGTAAAAAACACAGGGAACAGTCAAGCGATAAAAGGATTGGCAATTGGCATAATGTTCATTTAAAAGCATAATCAAAATTCACAGTTTAATTGTAAAGTAACTCACCTTTCACAAAGGCAGGTTTGCTGGGAGCAGGCTTAGATCCAATCCCCAGTTGGCCCCAAGTATTACCACCAAACATGAGCAGCCTGCCATTTTCTGCAGGAATAAGAATTGTTCAATCAGTTTATACAGAAAACCCTCTAGACATAGTAAATATTAATAAATAAAACGTGCAAAGGTTGTATGCACCTGTGGTGACAGCAGTGTGCTCCCAGCCACAGGAGATGTGCACAGGCAGGTCATTCTTCAACCAGAATGTACTAGGCACGTTGTCAGCAAAAGTGCTCTTTCCAAATGTAAAGATGGCTCCTGTTTCTAAAGACAAATGTAAGATTCATTTTTAAACTGCCTTTGATATGAAAATTAGACATTAACTTACTCTTCTTTACCTTAACCCCGGCTAAGTCCTAACCTGCTGTCAAATCTCAAGCTATTTAAGTAGCAGCCTGACAGAAATAGCACAGGTCAACCGTGTGGCATCGGGAGCAGAGAGCCAGGTAAGCACGCCTAATAAAGAAGAGTAATATATGTGCCAGGTATTCATGTATAGAAGTTAGGTATCTCACCGGGTATGTCCACATCGTCCTGTCCGGTCATCTCAATGCATCCCTCTCATCTCCTCACCGTGCGACTCGGTGCCGACTGACAGGTGGATCAGGATACGTCATAGAGGGGCGGGACTCAGGAGCAACAGATATAAGTTTTAAAAAATGATTGAAACTGTTTTTGTTTTAGTACTATCGATATAACTGCATATTCCTTGATGGTATCTCATGATCCACCTGTCGTTGAGGTGATTTGTCGTTGCGTTCTTGTTGTGTGTCGGTGTGTCGGTGTGTCGGTCTGTATGTCCGTCTGTCTTGTCTGTCTGTCTGTCTGTTTGCAGGATAACAGTTTGCTACTATGTTCCAGAAACATTTTTAATCTTGTGAAATTTCAGTAGCGGTGCTCTGTGGGTAACGTTTTTCCAAAGATGTATGTTTACGGAAGCAGGGTGGATATGTGCCGGTGTTACCGTTTAACTGGTTACACCGGGGAACTCGTTACGTTACGTTAACGGTAGGAATGGGGCGTGTACTTTGAGGAGCCATTGTCGAATAACCAGGAAATACACATTTCGATCGCTTCTTTTGTTGTTTCCATTTATCTTTTGGTATATTTGGCTCCATAGGAACACTTTGATGCACATTCAGTACCAGTGTGTGAGGTGGTTGCGATGCCGATATCCGGACGCGTACAGCGAGGACTACAAAATGACAATGAGGTGACTGGGGATGTCTGTTCAAAACATTGCAAACGTGAATAAATCATTTCAAATATGTTTTTGTCTCCGACTTTCATTTGTACATCGTTGTTAATGTGATGTTTAGTAGCTTTGATAGCTGTCCATACCTCCAGACAGCCTTGTGTAAGACACAAGTTGTTTACTCACAGCCCGAATGCAGCATCGAGATCCGTGGCCTCTCCGATTAACTTGTGACAGGACTTCTTTAGCTATTCTCCAGCGAGCAAGGTTTTTATTAAATATCTCCATCCCTCTCATCACAACAAGACTCTACACTGTGCAGAAAAAAACAACATCAATGAAAATAACCTTGCTGGATAGCTTAGAATGAAACAAACAAACTATCTTCCATGGCTGATACTGATGTCACAGTAACGGCTAAACCACAGACAAGTCCAGCGGGGGGGGGGGGGGGGCACAAGTTGAATCCATATAATGAAATTGTTATTTTATATATATATATATACATATATATATACATGCTATATATATTTATATTTATTTCTATCCTACATTGTCTAGGCTATATAAACCGGCGGAAGTGTCACAACTTTCTTGGTTTGTGATTATAGAGAGAGAGAGATAGCGACAGAGAGATAGACATAGATAGAGATACTTTAGAGATAGACATAGAGAAAGATCGGCTGTGTGTGTGTGTGTGTGTGTGTGTGTGTGTGTGAGAATATGTTATGTTAGGGCTAACCAAGAGGGGATGGATTCAGGAGTTGTTAAACAACTGATGGATTTTATGATCCACGATATTTATGCTGATGGCTTCAAAAAAAGAAAATTGTTGACAATTATCCTTTATTATCTTGTATGAATATATCTGGTATATTGCTCATTTTCCATAAAAGAAAAACATTTATTTGAGTTTGATGCATACAAATACTGTAGATGATGATTGTTGAAAATGCACTTGTACCATAAAATGCCAGCACGACCAGTTGGTTGAGGCTCATAAAAACAAAACTGTGTAGACAGTAAAAAAAAAAGTAGTTTGTGTCCCATTTGATAAAAAAATGCAAACAAATACTATTTCCAGAGATTTTTTTCTTGGTCTGCCAATTAAAGGGTTAAGCCTATATGTTTAAGCAATTATGTCTGCCTTCCCCATGGTGCACCATTAGGACCCACTGATATAAAATGCTTAACTGCCTAAGTTGCAACTATGCACTTTTTGGTGGGCTAAACCCAAGCTTCACATATTTTTGGCTACATTTAAAGTGCCAAATGTAAGTTTAGATATTATGCAATGCAACGTTTTTCTTGGCCTACATCAGTGTTATAGAAGGAAAGACAATAGTGATAGTTATGTTTCAGAATAACATTTATTGGAAATTGTTGGAAAAATATCACTTTTCACCAGTTTGAGCTTCAACCTCAGGGTCCATGTGTCTGTGATCCTCTCCAGAATGGAAGTAGTCATCACATACAGAGCATCAACTAGTTCCTGAACAGTGTCCTTCACATGCTGATATCCAAGAGAGGGTGTTACACAGTCACAAGATGGAGGAATAGAAAGCAGTATTCAATGTTTACTTCAGATTAGCTCCACGTCAGAAATGAGCATGCTTGATGTCAAGCTATCCAGCAAGGTTATTTTCATTTACTGTATGTTGTTTTTTTCTGCACAGTGTAGAGTCTTGTTGTGATGAGAGGGATGGAGGTATTTAATAAAAACCTTGCTCGCTGGAGAATAGCTAAAGAAGTCCTGTCACAAGTTAATCGGAGAGGATCACAGCTGGCCACGGATCTCGATGCTGCATTCGGGCTGTGAGTAAACAACTTGTGTCTTATTTTTAGGCTGTCTGGAGGTATGGACAGCTATCAAAGCTACTAAACATCACATTAACAACGATGTACAAATGAAAGTCGGAGACAAATACATATTTGAAATGATTTATTCACGTTTGCAATGTTTTGAACAGACATCCCCAGTCACCTCATTGTCATTTTGTAGTCCTCGCTGTACGCGTCCGGATATCGGCATCGCAACCACAACCTCACACACTGGTACTAAATGTGCATCAAAGTGTTCCTATGGAGCCAAATATACCAAAAGATAAATGTAAACAACAAAAGAAGCGATCGAAATGTGTATTTCCTGGTTATTCGACAATGGCTCCTCAAAGTACACGCCCCATTCCTACCGTTAACGTAACGTAACGAGTTCCCTGGTGTAACCAGTTAAACGGTAACACCGGCTGTGATTGGTTGTTCCTCGTCACATGACAGCTGCTGCGTCCCAAAAGTTTAAATACTTTCAAAAGAAGGACACAGCCGCATGATGTGTACGGCCTTCTTATTATATATCCATGGTACGGCCACATTGAGGCATTGCGCACTGCATTGAGGGGTACTTGGTACGTTGTACTGTCTTACGAACTGCTTTGATTGATTTTCCTCAGAAAAACGTAGTAGCAGAGCGTCTTTCCGTTGCGCTGCGACAGCACACTTGTTTCAACCTGTTTAGGGGGTTGTCTTGATATCATATATTAAGAGCAAAGCAAAACGTTTTAAGACAGCACTTTGCCTTAGAAATCAAGACTCGGGAGTATTCGCGTATTGTTGTGGGCGCTATGGCGCTGGGCGCTCCCAGCTGCATGCTCCTCCTTGGTGGGCGGGCACTCCTCTGCAGGACACTGGATGATAAACTAACGCCCACTCTGCAGGGCGGAGTCATGCACGCTCTGGTAGCTGACATCCGTTTATATCTATGGCTTATATACACAGTCCATGGAGTCAGTTTACTGCAAACAAGGAAGCGACACCTGGATGAACCACCTGAACGTTACTTTAAGAACCGCTTAATTTTGCTAGCTAACGGATATTTCTTAGTTTTTCTCCCGGTTTCACTGTTGCAAACTAAGGGGTCAAAATGAACTCCATTGACCTGGAGAAGCTGAAGATGACGGGAGCTGGTCGAACCATGGCCGTGTTGACCAGCGGTGGAGATGCACAAGGTGACTTTAAACAAAACACATATATTACAGTTATACAGCCATTCTTTAAGTAAACGTTGATATTAAGCTTACTTTTTGCAACAAATGTAAACATTGGACATCGGCTCGTGTGTCAAAGGCATAGACTAAAGGTCAAATTCGTGTATGAGCAGTCTAAATAACGTAATTTACTAAACTCAATTCCTGAACAATTTCACGTACATTTCTTGAGTACTAGAATGTTTTCCTACTTACATATTTATTCTCCACTACAACTTATTGACTTAAAAATAGAATTTGTTATACCAGGCACTACATGCATTTAGTTACTGATAGTTTGCATATTAGGGTTAACACAATATAACAAACAAATTAATGATGGCACATAATCCTACTTATATAATACTTTAACTTGTACGTTTTCAAGCATATGATTCATGTGTTATATTTTCAATACAGTGAAATTAGTAATGCAGGACTTTTACTAAGTTGTAGTAGAATGTTTCTACACTGTGGTACTATTACTTTGTTTAAAATCAAAATATTCTACCTCCTGTACCTCATAGAGTGTTAGGGACCGTTCAACTAATTTTTGTAGGTCATTGTTACTATTTCCACAGAGTGGGTGGCACCTTTGCCCAATGAGAAATAATTAAGTCATATCCATTGTTTGATTGCACGGTTATTGTGCGTAATGAGAAACAGAGGTGAATCTAATAATTTCATTAAACTCTCCAGGGATGAATGCTGCTGTCCGAGCTATGACCAGAATGGCCATCTATATGGGGGCCAAGGTCTATCTTATTTATGAGGTAAACAAGTTTCTTTAATATGACCCTAATACAAATGGAGTTTGCTCTTTATTCTTGTTGACTTGCCCACATTGCTATTTTTAACAGTAACACACCATTGGAAATTACTTTTCAGGGATACCAGGGCCTGGTGGATGGGGGAGACAACATCAAACTAGCACACTGGCAGAGTGTGACCAACATCATCCAACTGGTGGGTTGAAACAAAAATCATCAATCCCTCGACAGCAGTGGTGAATCTAGCTATAATTATTTACAGGTTTCCACCTATCCTGCATTAATTGTATCTTGATTTATATTTTTTTCTATTCATTGTGGTTAAAATATCTCTCTTTTTCTCTTTCCTTGTCATGTATTTACTAGGAATTTTATGATTTAATCCATCTCCTCATCTCTTCTCTTCCTGCCTGTCTAATTCTGGTTATACCCTGGTAAGGGGCCTTGCTGCATGTGCTCTCAGCCGTATTAGTTGAATAATTGGAAAGTTACTTTTCATTATACGCTATCCAACTGTCCCCTTTGCATTGCATAATATCCAGACATGTACAAACTCTGTATTGCACTGTTTATTAGCTTGTGTGCTGGTGACCCCTTAGCAATTTTTCAATTTACAAGTTGTCTTAGGTTTGATGTTTATGAATTTTGAGCAGTTCAAACAAAGAGTAAATGTCCCCTCTTTAAGGCTGTTTCAATTGAATAACTTTTAGTGTTCGAAATTAACAATTTTTATGTAGCAGAATGTGATTTTTTTCCTACTAACTATGCAAATATTGTTTTAGGACCCCTTAGTTTATTATTGCGTCCCTTTTCCTGGGGGTCACCATCCACAATTTAGTAACCTCGCTGTAAAGCAGGTGGATGGCAGGTTTCACTCTGCATTAAAACACAAATATATCTGGAGTGACTGCTTATGATCTAGCTCTGTTTCTAAACTTCCACCTCAGACATCTGATTTATCTAAGAACACCATCAGGACGCTGAGCTAAAGGAAATATTTCTGTATCTTTGCAGCACATGATTTCAGTGACAGATTACTATGTCCTGTTAGTCTTGATTTTGTTTGTGTGTAATCTCCTCTGCAGGGTGGCACTGTGATAGGCAGCGCCCGATGCAAGGCCTTCACAACTCGTGAGGGCAGGCTGGCTGCTGCCTTCAACCTGGTGAAGAAAGGCATCACCAACCTGTGTGTGTGTGGCGGAGACGGCAGCCTCACCGGAGCCAACATCTTCCGCAGCGAGTGGAGCAGTCTGCTGGAGGAGCTTGTACAGAAAGGTGACGTGATCTCATTGTCCACTTGTCACTGTGTAGTTTACCCTAATTATGTACTTTTACTGCATTCTGGCTACAGCATGGTACATACAATTTCTATGCTGAAAAGTCCTACATAATAATTTAACATTTCCTCAATAAAATGTCTAAAACTAACTCCACCTATGATATATATTCGGTTAAATTGTTATCTTATTCCAAATGTTTCAAAGAACCCTTAAACCTAAAGATATCTGTTATTTTAATTAAAGTAAATGGTCCGTTTCATTTGGTGGCCCAAAATGGAGATATATCACCTTTGGCAGGTGTTGTAGTTGTTTTGCCAGAATCTGTCCTAAATTCACTTTTTACTCAGTTGCAACCCACATATTTATATTTAAAAAGCTAATGGTTGTTTTTAAATATATATTTTATCCAGATATGGGATTTTAAATACTGTGTTTTTAGAGAAACAAGCTGAACAAACGTTGGCAGTAGCCAAATGTCCTCTGAAACAACACTTGATACAGAAGTAATGATTTGATCTTGTTCTGGTGTGTTAAATTGTAAGCTGCTAGAATAATATCTATAACAATGCACGTGTGTCTCTTCAGGAAGAATCACAGACACTCTGGCTAAGCAGCATGGCCACCTGAACATCGTGGGGCTCGTGGGCTCCATCGACAACGACTTCTGCGGCACGGACATGACGATCGGAGCCGACTCTGCTCTGCACCGCATCATGGAGATAATTGATGCTATCATGACAACAGCACAAAGGTCAGGCACCAAGTGACATTGAACAGTGGCAGCACAAAAGCAGATGGTATTTCATCAAAGCAATTATAATGAGATCCCTTCTTACTAAATAAGTTATAGAATATGAAGATGCAACAATAACGCAGTGGTAAATATACAGTTTATACGTATAGCTGTGATGGATGGTATCAAACTACAGCTGAAATGATTAATCGATTAGTCCCTAAAAATATTATTTTTGAAAATAATTAGTTGGTATTATAATATTAATATAGATCATTTCAAATATATAGCAACAGTAGCTCTCTCATGAGAGTGTTCCGACTTTATCAGACTTATGATAATATGTGTATGTACCTGCATGGTGTAATAAGTAATTGGAATGCAATCGTGTTCTAACCCTGTCCCATTCAAGCCTCTTTGGCATGTGATCTTGCCTGGACTTGCTCCCTTAGATCTTGGCAGGCTGCAAAATGTTTTGTTTCATTATAAATCTTGTGTACATCCTCCAGCCACCAGCGCACATTTGTTCTGGAAGTTATGGGGCGACACTGTGGGTGAGTAGTAATACTTTGACCAATTCGTCCATCCTTCACATAATGCCACTGGATAAAGCTAATGATCGTGATATCCCTCCAGATATCTGGCCCTAGTGTCAGCACTGGCCTCTGGGGCTGACTGGCTCTTCATTCCAGAGGCTCCTCCCCAGGAAGGCTGGGAGGACCAGATGTGTGCCCGTCTAGAGGGGGTAAGATGAACGAAAAGGTCAAAACAAACAGTATATATTCGCCCCGGCACTTGTGTTTTCACAGGAGAGGGTTTTAAAGTAGGGGATTAATAAACATGTTCTTTGGTCTACAAGCATTTCAGGGATAAAGCTTACTGACTACTGCTTGTTCTGTTTTTCTTAATTTTTTACCTCAAGAGCCGCACAACGGGGTCAAGACTCAACATTGTAATCCTCGCAGAAGGAGCCATTGACATAAATGGCAAGCCCATCACTTCAACTTATGTAAAAGAAGTAAGTTTAAAGATTTAAGTTTTAAGATCTCAGTGTTTCCCCTCAGTTGAGCTGCTCATTCTTCCTCCTACCAACACACCAAATTCCACTCTCCAATGAAAGATTAACTAACTGATCAATATGTCTCAGTGCTCTCTCCACGTGAAAGGCACCAGTGCAACATTTCATCACTCCTATCAACCTTCACATGGAACAATGAGGGCAAACAGCATCACTTATCTGGTTGAATTGAATATTGAAGATTATGAAGGCAAATTTAAACTGGAAGATATCAGTTTGTTCAAAGTTTTCTCTCAAATGTTTGTAAAGTACGATTATCTTCTACGGTGTGAATGGCTGGTCAATGACAAGCCAACGACAAACTGAAATGCTTCCATGTGTGTTACAGCTGGTGGTACAGAGGCTCGGCTATGACACCAGAGTGACAGTCCTCGGCCATGTTCAGAGAGGAGGAACCCCCTCTGCGTTTGACAGAATACTGGTGAGTTGGACAACATACAAATGTACATGTGAATTGATTATGACAACAAAAAAACATTTTTAAAGGTTATATTACTGCTTGTAATCCAAAATCGTAATGAGACAACCGAAAACGCACACAATACCTGAAATATCAAGTCTTCAGGAGGCCCCCTCTAACGGTGTGGACTCTCTTGTGTTTCAGAGCTCTAAGTTGGGGGTGGAGGCGGTGGTTGCCCTGATGGATGCCACTCCTGACACCCCAGCCTGTGTCATCGGTCTGTCAGGTAACCAGGCTGTTCGTTTGCCTCTGATGGAGTGTGTGGAGATGGTGAGTCAATCACTCTTATCTATTTTATAATTGATTTCATTAGACATACTCACAAGCATAGGGAGGTTGCTGTATTTTTCAACTGTACCATTATTTGCAGACTAAGTTGGTGCAGACAGCCATGAACGAGAAGAGGTTTGATGAGGCTATCAAACTGCGTGGAGGGTGAGATGTTTTTCATGTATATGAAATAGTTAGAATCATTTTAATTTAATGCAAAACAGCCTTGATGCACTGTAGATCAACACATGTGCAAGTACCTTCTATACATTTAACATCCACTCAAATTATGTTTATCATACACAACATATATATATATATATACACACACACAGTATGTTGTTTTTCTGTGCAAATAATAAACATAAATAAGGGTTTTGTTGCAGGAGTTTTGAGAACAACTGGAACATCTACAAACGTCTTGCCTTCCAAAAGCCTGCCCAATATGAGGTAAGTGTCTCACACACACACACACACACACACACACACACACACACACATTCAGTAGTATCCTTACCACACAATTACAAAGGTTAAGCACAAACATGCTTATTAATATCCGACTCTTGCTGCCTCAGAGCAACTTCTCCTTGGCTATCCTGAACGTGGGGGCTCCGGCTTCAGGGATGAACGCAGCGGGGCGCTCTGCGGTGAGGCTGGCGCTCGCTAAAGGACACAAGGTCTACGCTGTCCACAACGGCTTTCAGGGACTTGCCAATGGAAACGTAAGGGAGTCTACCTCTACATCTACACCACACTGCAGCAGATTTTAACAACAAGTTATCTGTGTGGAACTGTGAGGAGACTGTTCTCTGCTGTCTGTCTGCAGGTTTTGGAGATGGGATGGCACAGTGTTGCAGGCTGGACAGGGCAAGGGGGCTCACTGCTGGGGACAAAACGGTGAGCAACAGAACAATTTCCGTAATTTAAACATTAAATATTACTGCAACAGATTCGTTTTGTACTTTCATTAAGTTCTGGGATTTTGGACATAACAATATCTTTTTGAGCAATAATTGATGCAGGAGAGGCTTCAATTAGACAGTATTACAACGTACACCTTCTCACAGAATGTGCTATACTTCCAACTAACAAGTGTGAGATTTTTCACCTCTGTTTTATGCGCTTTTTCAGAACTCTTCCCAACAATAACATGGAGGGGATTGTGGAAACCATCAGAAAGTTTAACATCTCAGCTCTGCTTGTAATTGGAGGGTTCGAGGTATAAGACAGAACTTCCAAAGACTGAACTTGTGTAATATGTTTTACTGACAATGTAACATCAAAGAGGTTTTTCATTCTATCTCTTGGTGACTTTTAAAGGGGTACGTAGGAGTGTTGCAGTTGTTTGAAGCCCGGGGTCTCTTTGATGAGCTCTGCATCCCCATGTGTGTAATCCCTGCTACCATCAGCAACAACGTCCCGGGAACGGACTTCAGCCTGGGAGCAGACACGGCCGTCAATGCTGCCATGCAGGTAATGATAAGCAGGCAACAAATTCAGTGTCAATTCGATTTTTTTTTTTGGATTAACACAAATAGAGACTGCATCAAGCCAGAACACATCAAATATACAGTAATATGAGCTGCCATCCTTAGTAGGGCTGCTCGATTATGGCAAAAATCATAATCTCCATTATTTGGGTCAATAATTGATATCACGATTATTAAAAACAATTATCCATTTACTTTGAAAACATAAATGTATTGGAGAAAAAATGTTTGAACGGTATGTTTTTAACAGTTGATTACCCGTTTTATTTCGATTATTTTGTTTTCGTAATCGTTGCAAGCCATAATTATAATTGCGATTCAAATACGATTAATTGAGCAGCCCTAATCCTTAGTACGATACATCTCAACTCTGTATTCTTTGTTTGAAACAGAGGTGACAGTATTTACACATAGTTTTTATCTTTAAACTTTGAAGGATAGGGAATCAGAGACACGCTCTAGTTACTTGCCAATGCCTTTTTTATTTAATCAATAGCAAAGTCCACATTTTAGCACGACACATGGTAATTCACGTAAAAAAACTTCCACTACTGGTCTTTCTAGACGTTGCATGATGGGCTTTTAAACTGTGCACAGTATTGTATAGGTGAGGGTTATACAAATAAAATAAAAACTCCACTTCTACAATATTGACCCTGCCTTCAATTGCTAATCTCTCCATTCACTCTGCCATTTTGATTTCTTACTCAGGGCTGCGACAAGATCAAGCAGTCTGCCACCGGGACCAAGAGACGGGTGTTTGTGGTGGAGACTATGGGGGGCTTCTGTGGATATCTGGCAACCTCCACTGGCATAGCTGTGGGAGCGGACGCAGCCTACATCTTTGAAGACCCCTTCAACATCCACGACCTCACGGTGAGTCTAAAACAAGAAATGCTCTGCTGTATTCTATTTTGTCAATAATGTTCAAATCTCTCCGTCTCTTTAATTATCTCTCCTTTTGACAGACCAACGTGCAGCATTTGGCTGAAAAGATGAAGAAGGACATCCAGCGGGGTCTAGTACTGAGGTGCACAACATTAATTTAGCCATACAGAGACTATTATGAAATGAAGAAGCTAACCAAGAAAGTGTTTTTACTTAGTTTAACAGGTTTGCATGTTAATATTTGCTGAAATTAAAATACTGCTGAGGGAAAATTAGTATTCTTTTGGGCTGTACTAAATATTTCAAAGCTTCCTCGAAACATTGAAATGTTTTACTCTTAATGACGTATTCTAAGAATGATTGGTTCTCAGCTTTTTTTTGCAAGTGGATTTAGTTTGAACCCGTGTCCTGCTCTCACTCAGTTGACAATGAAGGAAAGAGAGGTTTGGTCGAGACAATCAGATTTTTATTTGACTATCCTTTTCCTGCTAAAACATAACAGGCTCTAACAACAATAAACGTAAATATCCCCCAGTGCCCTGAGGCCGCTCTGTTTCGCACATGTTCCTCCTTTAGGACGCAGCGTCCTGCAAGAAACAAAAAGTAGGACACCAGCATAATTATATCATTGGTTTATTACCTGATTCTGCGCAGCTTTATGATCTCAGGCTGGGTTCCTCCTATCTTTGCACCAGAGCCGACTCTGTACCCACACTCCACTGCTGCAATCAGTTCAGTGTTGGACAAAAAATAGGCTACTGAGGGAAGAGTTTTATGATAGGTTTCAATAAAATGTGATAAAAAATGTACCTACTAAAAAAACATCCTCATAAAACCTGACTAATGATTTATTTAAATTGAGGATTGTTTCTGGTGATGTTATAAACTACGACCGATATCCCGAACTTCCTCTTAGAACCTCCATAGGAGCTGCCAAATGTAAATAAATATATTTTTGTCTGGAACAAAGTACCATCCTTAGAGCCACACAAGAAGGGGAAAATACTATAGATATATATATATATATATATATATATACATACTGTACTGTGTTTATGGAACAATATCTCACTACATGAAACACTGTCAGAACAAGTTTTTCATTTGTTGATAATTTTCTCTGTCATAACAGGAATGAGAAATGCCATGAGAACTACACCACAGATTTCATCCATAAGCTGTATACATCAGAGGGGAAGGGCATCTTCGACTGCAGGGTCAATGTGTTGGGACACCTTCAGCAGGTACAAGAGCCATCCACCAATGACTTCTATTACAGTGGCAATATAACATATCACTCATATCCTGGGAAGAGTCTTGCAACATATGTATTCTTCACTTGTGTTTGTAATTCAGGGTGGAGCACCTTCCCCATTCGATAGAAACTTTGGCACTAAGTTGGGCATGAAGGCAATCGAGTGGATTTCAACGAAATTAACTGAAAACTTCAGACAAGGTAATGCACTATATAAAGTCAGTTTTATAGTAAAAATTGCTCAGAAACCCAAAGTTAAAACGCCACAATTGAACCATTCCACTGTTTTCCCCCACCAGGACGCGTGTTCGCTAACTCTCCAGAAACAGCATGCGTGCTCGGCCTCAACAGGAAGGTGATCTCCTTCAACCCCGTCACTGAACTCAAGGATGTGACTGATTTTGAGTAAGCAATCTCAACACTTTCATGTCAAATAACAGAAGAGTTCATTATGATTCAGTCTTAATAAAAACATGTGGTTTGTTTTTCAGGCACCGGATGCCCAAGGTCCAGTGGTGGATTAATCTGCGGCCAATGCTGAGGATGTTGGCCAAGTACCAAACCAGCTTCTGTGAATATGTCCCAGGAGAGATTCAACATGTGACCCGGCGCTCCATCAGCATCGACTCCGGGTTCTAGACTCTCTGAAACTACAGTAAACTCTCTGCACTAACCCTTATCTGTCCTGCCTTTGTTAATTTGCAGACTACTTTCAATTTCACAGTTGTTCATGTTAACAATACTGAATACTTTTAAGACCAGCATTGATTGTGAGTCTTGTCAGTATTACAGTAGCTACAGTACATTAAATGTAAAGATTAAATTCAGGTATTCATTTATTGCAGATTGTGATCCTCTTTGTGCCAAACAAACCTTTTTTTGTTGTCAAATCACTGCCATTAAAAGACAATCAAGTGTGCCATACAGTAAAACTTAAATAAGTATGTTGAGTTTCAGAAATAATCTAATCAGGAACCTTAAGTGAAATAAGTATGTTCATGTTATCAAGCTCAAAATGATATCTTCTATCATTTGCACAAACATTTAATCATTAGTCCTGTTTGGTTTGAGATTCTGAATCAAGTTCAAATGAAGAATAGGGCTACATGTTTAACCGACAGATGTCACCTTTACCCCCAAAACACACCAGGAGCGTCTGCGTCGCGTTACGGCCGCGCCGCGGCGGTCGTAAGGATCGCGGCCACTCTAGTCAATGGGTGCTATTACACCACACGCGCCGCGTTACGGCTCAGACGCGTCCCAGAAGCGGCTCGGCGCAGCGCTTCTCTAAAATTAGGATGAATCCTATTTTTGCCGCGGCGCAGTCGTAAGGTAAACTCCTCCCCCCATCCCCCCGTAGTCTTTCAAGTAGGAGAATACATGCCAGCGTTCTCCTCCGGTTTACAGGCACTGTAAATGATATATATATATATAGAATAATTATGATGATGAATGCATATTTTTTTACCACTAAAATACAGCAACACATCTTTGATTCATGTCGTTTATAACTGGAATATTACAATTATTATTAACTGTGTCTGTAGTCTACAACACAACAAAATAGGAAATAACAACAATAAACACGATTTAAACAGACACAAACATAAACCATTTAACTACGTATAGCCTACTTACTTGTAGAAGTACAAATGTCCAGGAAATATTCCAAAATCAACAACAACTGCGAGGCTGCACACACGACGCTCCGCTTCCGCAACGTTTTGAAACGCGTCTGGTGTGTGTTGTCGCAGGAGGAGGTCGCAGCGTGGCGCAGCCGCAACGTAACGCGGCGCAGACGCTCCTGGTGTGTTTTGGGGGTTAGACTTTCTGATTGGATTACCTAATTATTTTTTAAGTTTTCTGAAGTATATGTTTTTAAAGTCAAATGACGCATTATATTTTAATATATAATTTGCAGAACAGAAATCTGAACATTGGAATGGAAATATGACAAACAAAAATGTGGGTATGAAAGTGGACATGTTTTGCCCGTAGTGTCTTGCTTTAACTTCCCTAATGACAGGAAGGGACTCATGGGACCAGAGAAAGTAACATTTCATTTCTGAAGTTTATTTCAACATGTAACACACTTCACAACTACTGTACTTACAATATGGAAAACTGAAAAGGAATATGAACACATTTGAGTATTATTTTGATATTGCTTTTTTCCATTAAAGGTCTATCAACAGTTACAACATGTTCTTTGTTGTGTGAATAGTTATTAAAATAAGGTTTTAAGTTGCATTAAAAAAAATAAAAAAAATGACATACCATTTAACGTGGTGGTGTTAAACCATAAACCTTTCCCTAAGCTTAATTAAAAACAATAGAAGAACATTACAGAAGAAAACGGGTAACAAAGTGTTCTCAGAAACACCATTTTCAGTATTTAAATGTTGTTGCTACACATCTCAAAAGTTAAATGAGAACGGAAACTCATCCCTGGTTGTATTTTTGTTCGTTGTCTGAGGGCTGTTGGAGCTGAAGCCAAAATGGAAGTCTTCACTTTGCTCTGGTTGGCCGAACAGAAACTCGGGACCTGCAAAATGATACACATACATGTAGTTCAAAGCAGGTTATACACATCTCTAAATTAAAGACATTTGATTTGAGACTTACCAGGTGCAGACTTTGTTTCTGTGGTTTTCTGAAAGAAGATAGACAGAGTTTGATATTTTAGTTTGAGTAGTATTGTATAAAATATAGTTGGATAAAAGTACAAATGCAGTACCTTTTCATTAAAAAAAGGGCTGGTGAAAGCGAAAGATGAGTCCTGTAAAGAAAATAAGATGTAATAAACAAGAGAAGTTATTTCTGTTAAATCACTCTGTCTTTTGCCCACTCCTCACCTCTTCCTGTGACATGCCCACGTCAAATCCAAACCCAGAGAAGCCTGTGGTGCTGGGGTCAGAGTGCAGAGAGAACAGGAAAGCTGGAGATTTGGTGTCAGTGGAGCCTGGCTGTGGGGAGGCGGTAGGGCTAAAGCTGTAGTGAGCAAATGAAACATAGTTTTTAGTGGCAGTCTTGACAATAATTCAAAGTATTGGACAATTCAAAAAGCCGTACTTAAATGGGAACGCTGGGGTAGAAAACACAGCTGTCCTTTCTGCCACGGAGGACTGAGGATGCGTCTCTTTAGATGTCTGATGGAAAGCACCAAGGTCCTCATTGTCGCTCAGTGGCTGCTCTTCATATGAAGCGTCCTCTTTCCCCACATCAGCCTCCACTCCTTCCTCCACATCCGACACATAGATTTGCTGTTCATATGCAGAACAATCTCTTTAACGCATAATATGATAACTGTTAACCGTATGTGATTATCCTTGGTAGTTATTGATTGATTCTTGAGAGAGCCGTTGCTCACGATTTAGTATTTAAATTCCATAAAGTTGATAAACTTGTTGGGACAGATTACAAAAACATGCCATTAATCTATTAATAATACTTTTAGTTCCTATTATGACACAACATGACACTGTGTTGTTTTTAGGGGTACAAAGTATTATAGAAAAAAAACCTACCAAGACCTGATCCTCTCGTCCAGTTTCCTGCTCCTCAGTGTGCATCTCATCTTGCGGTATTTGTTCTGAAGAAATAAATATTTGCTGATGGGTTTGAAACATAAATATGCAAATGTCGCAAATAGTGTATAAAGTGTTTTTATTAATTGAAATGCGTAGGGAGCTTTACTCTACTTACCATCCAATGGATGAGATGACCACAGCTCATCGTTGTCTTTCTCTGGGGAAGAGCTGCAGGTCGTCGTATACTGGACCTCATTTTCCTCAGAAAAGTCTTCATCATTTGCCTCTACTGACGCTTTATGGCCAGACTGCAATCAATCAATAATGAAACACTATTTACATAGCACATTTCGAAACAAATCAGATGCACTTAAAAAGGTTCTTTACAAGCAATTGACCAAACTAAGAATTTCAAAAGTAGTGAATCTTAATAAAATATAGTAGAATAGAATTATAATGATCTACAAAAATGTTGATCCAACAAAAGGGAGTTAAATTAATACTAAAGATGATAATAGAAAAGTATAAATAATACAATTATTATAATCACTACCTAAAAGTGGCATAATGTGTGCTCTACCTTTTGTCTCAGTAAGGTTCATGATGAAATGCAAGATGTGTCCAGGTTTTTGTTAGTGGCTATATGACCCGTTTCAACTTTTACATTTGATAATTGCTAGAATTTGGCCAGCTCTAGGATTCCGTTAGTACTGTTGTTTGATATATCCAAGTACCTTTGTCTGGTTGAGATGAAGAGAGGAGATGTCAATGGAAGAACTCTCATCCTCTGCCTGAGGATCTAATTGTTTCTCTGCTTGTGCTATGGGATGCTGGTCAGAAACACTAGAAGGAAAAATTAACTCAATCTGAGAAAAACTGAACTTTTCTTTGCTTTGGCTTTTTGTCATTGTGATATTTATAAGATTCACTGAAAGATACCTGTCTGGTAATTTCTCAGGGGAAGAAGAATCAATTACTGGACCTGGTCAGGCAAAAAACTGTATCAGGAGCTGTAAATATATCTTACCAGAGCAAGTTATGATATTAAAAGTGTATTACCAGTGAGATGGTCCAGCTGCTTCTGTTTCATTGTTATTTGATCATCACAAGCCATGATCCTAGACTCAATCTCTTCTATTTCAGCCCGCAGCCCAAGGAGTATTTGAGCAAGAGGATTTTGGCAATAATATTCTTTGTGTGACTGGAATATCTTCCTGTAACTTGCAATTCTCTGTTCGTAGACCTCTCTTTTTGGGATACAAATAAAGAACAATTCAGCTTGGTTTATTATGGCACCCCAACAAATTAATTAAATGCAAACAACATAGTTAACTGAACCCACATGTCACGGTTATAGCTGTCTTTTCCGTTCTCCAGTTCTGTTTTGAGTGACTGCTCATACTGAAGAAGCAGGCTGTTAGTTGCCTTCATGCTAAAGTTACAAGGATGACAATCAGAAATATATTATATCCACACTTCCCCGCACTGCTAATAATAATAAGTTATATGTACATTTTGGTTAAGTATCAACTTGGTTCATCATAGTTTGTCTCATGCATTACCTAGTCAACATCATACCTTTTAGCATTAGCCTTATTATGTATCACAGTGCTCTGCTTCACCCTGATTCCCTCCTCAAGTTTCTGGATTTCACTGTGGATTGTTTGAAGGCAAGACCTCCTCTCAGCAGTGTCAGCTCTGCAAACTGTTCACAAAAATATAAGCACTTCAAAGATACCATTTCAAAACAAACACTATATTGTAAACGAAGTGTTTATTTGTTAGCATTAACCTTACCTTTAATTTGTTGTTCGATTTCATTCTTCTTTTGGGAAAGCTCCCGAGTTTGAAGAGCTATAAAATACAAACAATAGTTACCTTATTTAAAAATGACAATTATTCTTTTCACTATTATTATGAATAATTGTAATTATCACTTCGATTGAATTTGCTCTGGTTTACACCAACACCAAAACTGGCTTTCTAGTAAAAACCATTAGCAAAGCAGCTAGCATTAGATAACTTTAAACTTGCATGCTAATGACATCATTTGAAAACAAAACTTTTAACATACAATTAAGTTCAAATATAAACTCACCGAACTGAAAGAGGAGGCTGTCAATATTATTAAGTGAATATTGGTCGTTCATTTTGACACCAGGCTAATGTTAGTGGTTAGCGACGTTAGCTCACGCGGGGCGGGCTGCTGCTGTCAACGGCTCAGACGTTAGGAGACTTCAGCTGCGCACGGTTCTTTGAGCTCCTTCCAAGTAAAATACAAAGTTTTAAATAACTTGGTCATTGAGGAAAATACCATACATTCATTCTGTGGCCTCAGTTAAGAACCTAAAGATACTGTCAGTCATTCAAGTTAAGCTGGCTACCTTTTAGTTAGCTTTGGAGTGGACATTTAAGCTAGCAAACGTTTTCGGGCCATCATACAAGTGCCCGTGGCTTTATAAAAAACACTTCATTAGCAATGTATTATACATTTTGCTTTAAGTGAAAGTTAGTGACCACCATAGCGATACTGCTATACATTTCTTAATATATTTAATATATATTTTCTATCCAAAAAATGTATTAAGCCAAGCCTATGGCCTAGTATGTTGTGTTGCATTATAAAATAATTCATAGGCTAACGTTTTTAAACTGACGCAATACATATTCATAGTCTGTACAATAGGTTATTATATAAGATTATTTTTAATATATTCATTTTGAGGGTTATTATTTCCAACGTTTTAAGGGCATACATACGGTGCTTAAAATAGTGCTTTCAGTATGCTTTTCCTCCATCATTTTCCAAATGATGTCAATCAGGAGGATCACGGATCAGGATTGGTGGGACAGAGGGCTGGAGGCTGGAGGGGCGGGTTTAGTGCTATTCTGGAAATCATTTTTGCGTAGCGCATCTGTATGATGTGTATCGGCAAAAATACAGCCTTGTGATGTGTGGGGTCTTCCAGTGATTTATCCACACACGGTTACGTTTATTTACCCGGCTCTTGTCTAACATTTTAAAGGTAAGAAGATTACATTTGAATTGCACTTCTATTTAGATTACATGTTGTTCGCCGGCTGGCGTCTGCAGACAAAAGAGCGGACATGGGTGGGATTTAAATGGGAGGGGATCAGCTGTGTGAAGAATGGGTTGTTTTTTCGATTCCACCCCCACCAATGAAATTAAGCATTCGTCTCGAAAACCACTCAATCCGTCAATTAATTGTGTACTTTTTCATTTTGTCTGTAAAAGAAACAGGATGGTGTAAACAGATCAAGTTCGCGGTACATTTACTGAGAGTAGGATATCGTTGTCCTGTCATGCAAAAAGAATGACAACCCCCATTTGAAGAATTCATGTATGCCTCGTTTGTTATCTGTATTTCGTCTGTCTGGTTCTATATGCATAATTCCATATAAAAGATAATGTGAGATTTTGTATATTTGGTACATATGTAAAAAAACGCCTCTGCAGAATCTAGGCCAGGCTCACTCTACATAGAGGAGTGTATTATTGTGACAGTAAAAAAACATGGCTGTTCTTTAATGCCTCTTTCTCTGTTTGTGTGTGTTTGTGCTTTTTCATCCACCCTGAAATCTTCCCTAGATTTAACTTTTGAACATAATGAGTAGTCTGTGCTGCTCAGATCTTCAATTTTAGTCTTCATATATAGCCCATCATAAAGTAGCCGAAGGGTCAAAGAGTTTACAGGATCAGAGGAGAGCATGGCCCAGCTAGAGGAGCCCCAAACTGAGGGAGAAGGCAGCCCCCAGATGATCTCCTTAAGATCAGAGATGTCAGGGAACCATGTGGCCGATGGAGAAGTGGGAGCCCCCATAAGGAGGAAGAGGAGGAAGAAGAAAGACCAGCGTCCAGAGTCCATTATTGTTTACCACTCTGAAATGGAGAGGGGCTCTGGAGAGGACCAAGGCAGTGAGGAGGGAGCAGAGAGGAGCACGGAGGAGGGAGCCAAATTCCTCTGCACACCTGCAGGAGAAGGTGAGAGACTTGTCTTTTAATATCAAGAAGTGCCATTATTATCACAGAAGGAAAGTTAGGTGATGTGTTTGACATACAGTCTACTGTGCAATTTACACCATGCATATTGACTACATAATAAAACGAAAGAACAATTTATGTATTTGTTATTAGCATATGGCCATTTTAAGGATAACATAATTTGACAGGGAAAAAAGACTAAGGCTGCGACCAAGCACATGCTTGCATCCAAGCCTCTTTCTTGTAGGCCACTTTCCCTGCAACATCCATTTAGCTAATTGGAATGATCATAAATATACACTCATACCCCCACACACTTGAAGCATTACTTCAAACTCTTAGAGTGGAAAATTGCAGCAGGGAAAGGTTAGGCGTATTTTGTGAATCGACCTATATAAATTATGGTTACAGCTGAAGAGCAAGAATGTGAGTTTACCACATTCTCTTCTTGTTGGCTTTTCATTTAGCTGTTTGTCATAAAGGTAACTGTCTCTTGTTTCATAATCTCTTAACAGAAGAAGGGTGGAGCCTTCCTCCAGACAGCCGCTACGTAACCCTGACTGGCACCATCACCCGAGGAAAGAAGAAGGGTCAGATGGTGGACATTCACCTCACTTTGACAAAGAAGGAAATCAGGGATCTGGCTAAGTCAAAGGAACGCCTCGACGCAGAATGTGAGGCAGGGGAAGGCTACAAACGCAACTGCGGCTTAGGCGTGTGTCAGGGACCCCATGTCGTCCTGTGGAGCCTCTCCTGCGTTCCTGTGATTTTCCTCCTCTCCTTCATCACTTCCTTTTACTACGGCACTCTTACCTGGTACAATGTCTTCCTGGTGTACAATGAGGAGCGGACGTTCTGGCACAAGATTACAATATGCCCCTTCCTCATCATCTTCTACCCCATGCTCATCATGCCCATGGCGCTGTCCCTGGCTCTGTACTCTGCCGTGGTGCAGGTGTCCTGGGCCTTCAGTGAGTGGTGGCAGGATGTCAGAGATATGGAGAAAGGTTTCTGTGGCTGGGCCTGTGGGAAGCTGGGACTGGAGGACTGTTCCCCCTACAGCATAGTAGAGCTTCTTGACTCCGATACTGTTTGTGGCACTCTGCATAGCAAGGCCCCCAGTGAACTCGCCCAGACATCATCAGTGTGAAGTGGTGGTATGCTGAGGTGCAAGGCACATATAGGAGTAGGCCTAAATCCAAGTTATACGCAAGAAAGTTAGAGTCGCTTATGGGGAAGTACTTGAAAGCTTTTCTGTGATTGATGATCAAACACTACCTGAACAGTTCCGAAATTCAGATCTATTATGCATTATGGGATCCAGGCCACTATAAATTATTCCTCTAAGCATGCGAGTGGTAATCTTTGTTATTTTTAAGTTGTTATGGTTATCCTCCAACAACTGAATCCTTCTTATAACTTTTTGATATTTTAAGGCCTCAGTGCCTCCTGTAGTGAAGTTTGGATAATCTCACCTTGTTCACTGCTACATATGTTGTTGGAGGCCTGAAAGTTCCACCAAGTTCCACTTCATCTGTAAATATCTGTAATTAAATGTATGTGCTCACAGAGCTGCGCACTGACGTAAAAAACTGGATGCATTTCAAATGCTTGTATGTAAAGTCATCATAATCTGTGAAGTTGTATTTGAAGTAAGGCTGGATTACTAACAGGAAACAATGGGTTCAGAAATTGCTTTATTAAATGTGTTTTATTACTGATTGATCTGGGTGTATGCACCATCCAAAACAATATTGTTCAAATAATGAGCACTGGGGGAAACACAACAACTTTCCCCTTTACCCTCACTAGCATTTCCTTTAGTTACTGTGGTTCCACGGCTAGTTCCGTTATTTGGGATGGTGACCGCAAATAATTGACATTGCTTGTCTTTGGTAACTTGGGATAGCTACCAGGAAAAAGAGAGATGCATCCTCTTCCTGTTGCTTTGTTCTTCTTCCTGTTTCTATTGTGCAAATAACATTTATTGTACAATTGATAGGAAATCCTTATTGGAATGATCAGTCCAGTTTTTTTCGGGGGGGGGGGGGGGGGGGGGAATATCAAACCATCTTAATCCATTAATAAATACCTGTATTTTTAGGATGATATTGTTTTAAATGGTGCATATTCCTAAAATGTTTTGCATTTCGTAAAGGAAGTTGCTGACACGAGTACTTACTAGTGTCTGGGCATCTAAATGTTGCTGCTTTGTGCACACATTAAGTACATAGTGTTACAGTGTTCTGACAGACAGAAGAACAGGGTTATCAGGTTAATCCAACCATTTCTTTGAAGCCATAGTCAGAAAAAGCTGACAAATTAGGCATTTCTCTGGTGTAGTCATGTGTTTTCATTGTCATTATTCATATATTTAAGGCACCATCAACACAGATGTGTGTGATCTTAAACTGCATGTGTTGTCTTCACAGTAGTAATTTTCCAGTGTTCATGTTACATTTATACCCAGTTACATTTGAATGTTGATTTAATTTATTTTATATATTTAAGACTACTCACTTCCTGTATTTGTTGTAGCTATTTGTTTTATACTCTGGCACTAAATGTATTGCAAATGGTTATCATGAACAGATTTTGTTGGTTTAAGTTGATCAGATAGTTAAAATATTTGTTTTAAAAAATATTTATGATCAGTCCTTGTTTGATTGTATTATTCAATTTGGTTTCAAACAAACAGTGACATTAATCAGTGGTTGTGTCTTTATTCCATGTTACATGTTGTGAGACCACAGGATGCAAAGTACACAAATGAAATAAAGTCTTATGTCATTACATCACAACTTTATGACATTTTGGGGGTAAAACAAACAAGACACAATGGGATGTTTTATGGGAGGTTGATAATGTCTTGAAAAACAGTCAGTTTACAGTGTTTCCCTGAATGGTGACAACAGACGAAGCTAGCTCCCTGGGGTCAGGGTGTTTTAGATCTGATTATTGGCACCCTGGTGTTACACTGGGATGTTAAGTAAAGAAAATCCATATGCTCCAAAACACACATGAACCAACAAGGCCAGTTTTAAAGTCTGATTGTGGGGAGCTAAAGCTTACACAATTTGTTGAGTCCTCAAAAAAAAAAGTGTTCTGGAAATGAAGAGGTTTATGTATTATGTGTAAAGAAAGTTTAAGCAGCATTTAGACCTTAATGTAGGAAAAACATTTTAATAAACAAAGACAAAAAAAATCCTAAATAATTCAACAGTTTGAGGGGAGAAGGTGCTTAATGGAGACTTTGAGTATTTGGTTTATTTCGATTTTATTTATTTCTATTTGTATTATAACATATTTTTTGGATCAGCTTTAATTCCCAAGTAAGCGTGTACCCATTCCGGGAATTTGATTTCAGTTGTGTTTTTTTCTAAACATACATGCACAGAAATGGACATACAGC